ATGTATATACGTCTCGTGCTGTTATATTCAACAAGAGAAGAAATGGTGAGGACGCATACAAGGATACAAAAAATGTGCTACATTTTGTTTCTTGGAAGATAATAAAAGAAAACTCATAAACAAAAAAGAGAGAAAGGCGGAACTTACATTCCAATATTGTCATGCAATATGAAGATTTTTTTATGATACTTCCTTAAAATCCTTTTAAAAAACATATTAAGATTTTAAAGTAAATATTACCATCAATGGATTCGCAATAACGCAGAAGATTTTACAAGATACAAATGTAAAGTCACACCAATGTTTACTCTATTAGTAAACGCTGTAATCCTTAAAAGTCGCTATAAGTTGAATTAATTGCATTAAAATCGCGATATGTTACATACGTACGCACTTTAACGGTTTATTACATATACAAAATTAAATGCTTAGAACAATGTTATCAATATGAATAACTATAGTTGTCGTATGGAAGAGAAGGATGATAAACTTACAGTTAGTACATTATATACACATACATACATGCATATATATACGCGCGTGCGTCAGTGTATAGGTGGATATATATCTATATTTTATGTATGTATGTGTGTGTGTGTATATATATATATGTGTGTGTGTGTGTGTGTGTTTGTTTATGTGTATGTATGAATGAGATTATGCCGCAAATGCACATGTATCCATCAGCCTTGTATACAATCACAATCGAATTGTATGTGTGTATGTATGTGTATGTGTATAGGTGTATTTGTGCATGTACTATGAATGTGTACAATCGGTCTTTTTGGTCGGAGCAACATTGCGCAAGTTATATACATTGCTGCTTGTAGAATACAGAATGTTCATCTTAAAATGCATCTACGCTTTCACATCGTAATGCTTTATTGTATCTCTTCCAACGAAAAGTATTCGCAACTAAGGATAAATTACTCAGGGGTACTCGAATCACATATATTAAAAGTAATTCCATAACAACAATTGAATTGTCCTCGATAATATATTTTTATCCACAGAGAAAATAATTTCAACATGATGACCTCCATTATGTCCAAATTACTTTCAAATTTTACCACTATATCATATTAAATATATACTTAAAAATATATTAAAAAGCTACTTATATAGTTTTCATTATTTTATATACTAATTATATATCTATATAATTATATAAATATATCTTTTTTTTTTTCAATAGAACTTTCTGGGCAATCAGCTTTGTTGATTTTTTTCGGAGACAAAATAAAATGTTGTATGCGGATCTTAAGAAAGGTACCCCCGTATATTTATTCTTATGTAAAAGAGTCGCGATTATTTTTGACAAATAGGTGAAATATTTAATAAAATATATTACAGAAACTTCTCTCGCAGCACTCGCTTATATATATTTACATGTATGTAGCCATTGCGTGTGAAATTGTATATGTATACGCGTTAGACGCAACACGATTCTAGTTTTCATCGAGTTTTGTCTACCTTTTTCTCACTTTAGTATTTACATGGTTAACACGCACACAGATCCAACGATTTGGCGCATGTGCGTGTTGCGCGGTACGAATTTGCCTCATTCACATAGGTTGACGCAGAAATATATTTTTACTCACGGATATTTTCGAGAAGTTGTGAGTAAATTGGTAAATTATCGATACAATCATCGGCACGTATCGCCAAGCGCACGATTCAACGTGAACAATTGTTCGACTTACCTAAATATTTCTTGCAGCTTTCTCTGTATTTCTCTCATTGACATGTGATACATGTCGAAAATACAGAGTTCAAAATACACTCGGTTTTTTTTACAGGCAAAACTCGCCAAAAATTCGACCTAGCGGCAGACATGAATGCAATAGCTAGAGGATTGTAGAATAAGGGTACAATCTCTTGTTGGGTCTTATTGAGTGTTGTTTGTAAAATTATGCAGAAAGCTTTTCCTCTTACATTCTGATATCTGATAGAGGCTCCACCTATTTCCGTCTACATTCAATATTCACTGAAATATAGCGTCTTTCTTAATTTTATTTCAAAAAATATTTGCAGATATGCATACGATGAATCGCTATTACCAAATGCAAGTCTCACGTTTACCTCATTTCTCTCACTCCTTTCTCTCCTCTCCCTCATGTTGGTAAGTTCACTTTTTTTTCATTCATCGTATACAAGGTTACAGTCACGTTGCATACACATGCACTCATATATCCGCAGACAAATAACAGATTCGTACATTTTTATGTTACAAGAAGGCTCCGTAGCTCATCCTTCTTTTAAACTTTATCTTTTTCTTTAGATCGCCCCCCCCCCTTTTTCCTGGCGCAAAGGAAATATGATTTCACTTTGCACACGACAAATATTTACTGGCTAACGTAGGTAAAAAGGCTATGTAGATCACCATATCGCAAACCGTAGAAATCGAATTGTTCTACTCGGATGGTCTTTGACCCCAGCGCGATTTTGTCCTCGGTAATCTACTGGGCGATGACGAGTTACCGTCATCGTTTAATTTCCGCTTGACGTTCAGTACAATACCACTCTTGGATGAAACTTTTGAATGAGATGCGGTCGCCACTTTGGAGACATCT